CCTTTTTGCCCCAAAGGTTTAAAAATCAGTTTGCTTTTGTGCAACATGACTGGGCCCGAAAGGCTTCCAAATTATTGTTTGGCAGTTTTGCGGATGCTTTTCATCGGGTTGATCCGGGGGTCTGAAGGAAACAGTTTGAAGGCTCCCGGTCTTTGTTTTTTAGCCTTCCCCCGTGTTTGTGCCCCTTTGGCTTGTGCAGTGTCCGAGGCCCTGCGGGGGGAAGACCAAATCGGGGCGGCGCATCCGCGACGTGCTGGAGAAGGAGCCCTCCAAGTTCCAGGTCTTCCGAACCCCGGAGATCGCCACGGTGCTCTTCCTTCAGGCGAACAAATACTTACACCGAGAGAAAGGGCGGGGAGGGGGTACGGGTGAGCGAGGGGGGCCCGAAAGTGGTCGCCCCTATCAAGAGACTTGAAGGATTTAGTGAGTCGAGGGTTTGTCGCCATCAGTAAGGATGTAGTGAGAAGAAATAAATTTTGGAGAGCTGTGTAACTCACAGGTTGTTGTCTTTGCATTTGCCATTTTGGGGGCCATTTTTGGGATTCCATTTTGGAGCCAAAGGGTGAATTGTGAATTTCCACTTTCAGGGGAGCAAGAAACAGAGTCTTGAGTCTTGACAGGTTCCGATCGCTTTGAACTTTGCTTCATACACGTTCTAGGCCTAAAGGACGTGGAAGGAACCTTTTGGAAGCAAGAACCCATTGAACGGGTCACCCAACACTTGGACTTGGTGGGAAAATTGGGTTGGGCCACATTCTGTACGGGATTCCAGTCATGGGAGAGACTCATGTATCACAGAATGATTGTTCATGCACTTGGATGACCAGGATTGGGGCTTCACCACTGGCTAAGAGGGTCATCAAGAGCCAGAGAAGGGAAGTGTATCCCATGTTGCCAATGAACTTCACTGGGCGCTAGAAGATCGTGTTACTTCAAGGGCCCCCTGGCAGGAGTTTTTGGTTTTTTTTGGTTCCTGGCAAGCGACACCAGCTCCTTTTTTCTCGGAGGGCGCGATGAGCAATGGGACGTATCAGAATTTCGTGCCAGAGGACTGGGGATTGATTCCGAGTCAGGATTCAGGCCTGCGTTCCTCTCACTGACTGAACCTGCAGGAGTATATTGAGTTCATTGTGCAATGCGAGATTTTGCAGATCGTTTTTGAAGGCTGGATGCGTTATTTTGGAGCACTTGCGAGTCAAGCCCTGTGCGTTTGTCATGGCACCCCCACTAAAAATGGAAACCGCCCTGGCCCAGGAATTTGGGCCCAGGGCGCCGCCTTGTCTTCCGGCAGCGCCACGGGACTGCTCCTCACGGACCGGGACGCCTTGGATGGAAAGTCTTACTCCAGGCGGGGTGCCATGCGTCCGAAGGATGTGGGGAAGGTTGCAATCTGGATCAGTTTGACGATTCGAGTGGGAACCGTTGCATCTCAGTTTCAGAGGTTTTTGGGTGGCTCGTCCCCCCTTTTTTTTTGAGATTGCGACTCCCTCCGACATGCCGCCAAGGTGTTGCTGTTGGTTTCCCTGTGACGCCACCAACGAGAGGTACCCCTCTAAACAAAGACGAGACACCCAACCCGAGATGAGAATTGAGTGGGGTTCTTGGCAACGCTGAGGCCGGTGGATGAGAGCCAGCCTGTGTCCTGGTCCAGGACGTTGCATCTTGAAATCTAGCTATGAATCAACCTGCTAGACATCAATCTTCAGCACAAAAAATCGACAGTTCTCATGCATCCCTTCTCCTTCCCGCTTTGTTTCTCCCTCCAAAACAAACGGACAGTTCAATGCATCCCTTCTCCTTCCCGCCTTTTCTCTCCCTCCAACACAGCCCCTTTTTCCCTCCAACAAAAAACCAAACGCGCCGGGAGGATCCTCTTGAAGGTGGGGGAGCGCTTGAAGATCCCGGGCTTGTCGGACGACGACTTGGCGAAGCGCTACTTGGGCGCCGTCTTTTGGCACACCGCTGCCTCCCATCAGGGCCGCCTGGACGTGGAGGCCTATAGCCGCCCCGCGGCCTCGGGATGTTGACGCGTGTTTGTGTGGTGTTGTGTGTGTGTGTGTGTGTGTGTGTGTGTGTGTGTGTGTCTGTGTCTGTGTCTGTGTCTGTGTCTGTGTCTGTGTCTGTGTCTGTGTCTGTGTCTGTGTCTGTGTCTGTGTCTGTGTCTGTGTCTGTGTCTGTGTCTGTGTCTGTGTCTGTGTCTGTGTCTGTGTCTGTGTCTGTGTCTGTGTCTGTGTCTGTGTCTGTGTCTGTGTCTGTGTCTGTGTCTGTGTCTGTGTCTGTGTCTGTGTCTGTGTCTGTGTCTGTGTCTGTGTCTGTGTCTGTGTCTGTGTCTGTGTCTGTGTGTCTGTGTCTGTGTCTGTGTCTGTGTCTGTGTCTGTGTCTGTGTCTGTGTCTGTGTCTGTGTCTGTGTCTGTGTCTGTGTCTGTGTCTGTGTCTGTGTCTGTGTCTGTGTCTGTGTCTGTGTCTGTGTCTGTGTCTGTGTCTGTGTCTGTATCTGTGTCTGTGTCTGTGTCTGTGTCTGTGTCTGTGTCTGTGTCTGTGTCTGTGTCTGTGTCTGTGTCTGTGTCTGTGTCTGTGTCTGTGTCTGTGTCTGTGTCTGTGTCTGTGTCTGTGTCTGTGTCTGTGTCTGTGTCTGTGTCTGTGTCTGTGTCTTGTATGTGTCTGTGTCTGTGTATGTGTCTGTGTCTGTGTCTGTGTCTGTGTCTGTGTCTGTGTCTGTGTCTGTGTCTGTGTCTGTGTCTGTGTCTGTGTCTGTGTCTGTGTCTGTGTCTGTGTCTGTGTCTGTGTCTGTGTCTGTGTCTGTGTCTGTGTCTCTGTGTCTCTGTGTCTCTGTGTCTCTGTGTCTCTGTGTCTCTGTGTCTCTGTGTCTCAGTGTCTCTGTGTCTCTGTGTCTCTGTGTCTCTGTGTCTGTGTGTCTGTGTGTCTGTGTGTCTGTGTGTCTGTGTGTCTGTGTGTCTGTGTGTCTGTGTGTCTGTGTGTCTGTGTGTCTGTGTGTCTGTGTGTCTGTGTGTCTGTTGTCTGTGTGTCTGTGTGTCTGTGTGTCTGTGTGTCTGTGTGTCTGTGTGTCTGTGTTCCTGTGTGCCTGTGTGCCTGTGTGCCTGTGTGCCTGTGTGCCTGTGTGCCTGTGTGCCTGTGTGCCTGTGTGCCTGTGTGCCTGTGTGCCTGTGTGCCTCTGTGTCTCTGTGTCTCTGTGTCTCTGTGTCTCTGTGTCTCTGTGTCTCTGTGTCTCTGTGTCTCTGTGTCTCTGTGTCTCTGTGTCTCTGTGTCTCTTGTGTCTCTTGTGTCTCTTGTGTCTCTTGTGTCTCTTGTGTCTCTTGTGTCTCTTGTGTGTCTGTGTGTCTGTGTGTCTGTGTGTCTGTGTGTCTGTGTGTCTGTGTGTCTGTGTGTCTGTGTGTCTGTGTGTCTGTGTGTCTGTGTGTCTGTGTGTCTGTGTGTCTATGTGTCTGTGTGTCTGTGTGTCTGTGTGTCTGTGTGTCTGTGTGTCTGTGTGTCTGTGTGTCTGTGTGTCTGTGTGTCTGTGTGTCTGTGTGTCTGTGTGTCTGTGTGTCTGTGTGTCTGTGTGTCTGTGTGTCTGTGTGTCTGTGAGTCTGTGTGTCTGTGTGTCTGTGAGTCTGTGTGTCTGTGTGTCTGTGTGTCTGTGTGTCTGTGTGTCTGTGTGTCTGTGTGTCTGTGTGTCTCTGCGTCTGTGTGTCTGTGTGTCTGTGTGTCCGTGTGTCGGTGTGTCGGTGTGTCTGTGTGTCTGTGTGTCTGTGTGTCTGTGTGTCTGTGTGTCTGTGTGTCTGTGTGTCTGTGTGTCTGTGTGTCTGTGTGTGTGTGGGTCTGTGTGTCTGTGTGTCTGTGTGTCTGTGTGTCTGTGTGTCTGTGTGTCTGTGTGTCTGTGTGTCTGTGTGTGTCTGTGTGTGTCTGTGTGTGTCTGTGTGTGTCTGTGTGTTTCTGTGTGTGTCTGTGTGTGTCTGTGTGTGTCTGTGTGTGTCTGTGTGTGTCTGTGTGTGTCTGTGTGTGTCTGTGTGTGTCTGTGTGTGTCTGTGTCTGTGTGTGTCTGTCTGTGTCTGTCTGTCTGTGTCTCTGTGTCTCTGTCTGTGTCTGTGTCTGTGTCTGTGTCTGTGTCTGTGTCTGTGTCTGTGTCTGTGTCTGTGTCTGTGTCTGTGTCTGTGTCTGTGTCTGTGTCTGTGTCTCTGTGTCTCTGTGTCTCTGTGTCTCTGTGTGTCTGTGTGTCTGTGTGTCTGTGTGTCTGTGTGTCTGTGTGTCTGTGTGTCTGTGTGTCTGTGTGTCTGTGTGTCTGTGTGTCTGTGTGTCTGTGTGTCTGTGTGTCTGTGTGTCTGTGTGTCTGTGTGTCTGTGTGTCTGTGTGTCTGTGTGTCTGTGTGTCTGTGTGTCTGTGTGTCTGTGTGTCTGTGTGTCTGTGTGTCTGTGTGTCTGTGTGTCTGTGTGTCTGTGTGTCTGTGTGTCTGTGTGTCTGCGTGTCTGCGTGTCTGCGTGTCTGCGTGTCTGCGTGTCTGCGTGTCTGCGTGTCTGTGTGTCTGTGTGTCTGTGTGTCTGTGTGTCTGTGTGTCTGTGTCTGTGTCTGTGTCTGTGTCTTTTTTTTTTTGGGGGGGGGGGGGGGGGGGTGGGGGTTGGGATGTTGATGTGTGTTGTGTGTGTTTTTTTTGTGTGTAGCTTTTTTTGGTTTTGGGGGGGGGGGGGGTGGTTGGGGGGCGTTTTGCCTCCTCTTTTTTTTTGGGGGGGGGCCCTCTATTTTTAGACACCGGATCTAGAAAGAGAGAAAGGAATGGAGAAGAGGTTCAACGTCCAAAAGTCTAAGTATAGTAATGTGAAGAAGGGATGAAGGAATATGAAAATAGTATGCTTCTTCTTGTTGCATCTTAGTATATTTGTATTTCTAATGTAACTATATTGTAGAAGAGTATTGTATTGCCTCTTTTTATTTCTTTCTTGTTCATCTTGTGTTCTTTATTACTTTTTTCTTCTTCATATTCGTTAATTATTTTTTCCCTCACTATG